TGGTATGACAAATTTCATCCGAAACAAAAAAGTTTTCCAAATATATCGATCTTGATCATTAGTCTTATTACATTTGATTTTTTGTCTAATTTTTGTGTTGAATATCGAGATTTAATCAAGGTTAGAAGAACACTACCATTTTTTAAATGAAATATGATTTAACTAGTCAATAAAATAATCAATTCAGTTTTTATAATTAAATTTAGATAGATTTAGATTTAGTTAGTCGAAAAAAAAACGTATAGATTCTATGAACAAAAAAGTTTTTGTTTAATTTGATAAAATAATATCCGAATGGAATTATTATTTTAGTTACACTTTTAGAATCTTCATAGTTTATATTAGTTTTATCTATAATAACCTTTTGTCATTATTGATTATTAATCAATATTTATCTTTCATTATAATTCTCAAATGTAAATCTTCCTAATCTAATATTTAAATATTTGTATATTTATTTGATTATGTCCTTTCTGCCAACCTTCTCATCTAATAGATAAATGTTATATTGAGTAACTTGTGTTATATTCATCGATATTTACTTGTAGATTCTAAGATGAAGTAAAATGAAATCCTTGATAAACAAAAAAAACGAATAGAGAATGATAAGTGAATTACATCAACACATCTTTGAATTTGTATATTTGACGATTGGAGTGAGATCGGGGGAATCACTCCCTCCTGTTTCAGAAAAAATTTCTCTGATTTTGGAGTCAAGAGTCTCCGACTTTTGAGAACTACAATATAGAGTTTACTTTAAATTTGGCGAAAATCTAAGTTTGAAAAAAAAACTCCTCGGAATCGAGTTACAATAAGAATCTTTTTGTTTTTTTTTCTGTTCAGTTTTGGCCTTCTGGGATTCGAAGCTCCGATTTTTGAGGTACTTCCCTTCCGCTTTGATCTCTTCGCGCCGTCTCTGTACTTAGTTTTATTTCAATTGATTAAAAACGTTTCCTTTCATTATGATTTGATAAATATTTTATATTGACAGATATCGAACATGATTATTATAGATCATCTTAAGAAAATACAGAAGTTAATTGATTCTTGGAATTCTTCGTCAACTCCAGAGATTTTGATAGATCAATATTTACTCTTTTATATTTATGACGATAGTATTGAAATATAGATTGATTTTGTTTCCAACGAAAATCATATAATTATCTTTTTATTTTTATCAGGATAAAAAAAGCTGATTAAACTCTTCTAAGAAAGTATCAATATCTTATATAAAAATGTTTAATTATAAATTGTTTCTATGATATATCTCGAAGATTGAAATCATATCATATAAATTATTCTGATTGATTATTCACTTATTGTTCCCTCGACTGTAGAGAGGGTCATATGAAAAAAAATAGTTTGTATGTATGTATGTATGTACGTTGTATGTTTGTGTCAAGGTCAAAAAAACATCAACGATGAATTTTTTCCTCTAACGGTTGATGAAAATAAATTGGGGTTGGGAAATCCGAATCTGAAATCTTTTTCGTTTGCTTGCTTCTCGGGGTCAAAGGTCAAAAAAACATCAGTTGAATTTTCAGGAGGGCTTTTCCTGCTTATTGTAAGGACAACACATAGTCATGTTCGTGCCGATCCTAGGGTTCTCCAGGATGCTCTATCGATTGATGGGTATATGTAGGGGTCCCCATCGATCCCTTCATCCGGAACCCGCAAGTCGCAAAAAACCACCGGGGTCAAAAAAACATCCGTTAATATTTAAGGGAGACTTTTCTGCCTTATTTTAAGGACAACATATAGTCATGTTCGGGCCGATCCTAGGGTTATCGAGGATGCCCTATCGATTGATGGGTATATGTTGGGGTCTCCAACCATCCCTTCATAGAGATATAAAGTTCTGCCACTTCATTGGGCGAAAAATTGACAAATCAAATTTCATCAGGGCTTTTCTTTCTTATAGTAAGGACAACAGATAGTCATGTTCGGGCCAATCTTAGGGCTATCGATGATGCTCTATCGATTGATGGGTATATGTGGGGGTACCCAACCATCCCTTCCCTGAGAAACTGAACCCAGTTTTGAGAATTTTGAATTGAGTTTCCAGGGTCAAGGGAAGGGTTTTTCGAGAAAATAATGGAATTTTATAAAGGTTCACGAAAGTAGATCGGGCTCGGGGAATCCGAATCTGAAGTCAGATTTTCAAAATTTTGAATTGAGTTTCCAGGGTCAAGGGAAGAATTTTTCGAGAAAATAATGGAATTTTATAAAGGTTCACGGAAGTAAATCGGGCTTGGAGAATCGGAATTTGAAGTGTGTTTTCTCGAAATTCTGAATTGAGTGTTTTGGGTGATGGGATTGCAGGAGAATGATGGTGTATAGGAAGGTTTGCGAAAGAAAATCGAGCTCAGAATATACAAATATAAGATTAGTTACCAGAAATTTCGAATAGTTGTTATTTTGAGGCTATTGTATTTCTGTCTCTAAATCATTTGTTCAAAGCTAATAAGGTGGAGATAACCGAGAGGCATGGAAAAGTCAATCGACGCGTAAAGACTATCTCGCAGTTGATTGCAAGGCATTTCTTCCGAGCGGCCAGTATAGGTGTTCTTTGTATGGTTGAACGAAAAGCACATCGTTAGCTCTTTATATGTAGAATAACAGAGAGAAAATCAGTGTCGCTGATGTCTTGTGACAGAACGATGATGCACCTGACCTTGATGGAAATTGAACCCATCCCTTCTGCTGTTCGGGCAGATGTCCTAAGGCTATTGAACTGTATGGCGCGTCTAAATCATCGCTTAGCATTAGTGTAATCCATTAATTACGCTAACACATATGGTGTTAAGAAAAAATGACTTGAAGAAAGATGTACTCAAACTTGGGAAATGGTTTTGCTTATCTAGAGTCCTTGATTGGTGTTTACTTTGGGTACAATTTTCAGAGTATGTTGGGAAGCGTTAGTCGACGTGTAGCGTAAGGAGGTGAGTGTTTCATTAAGTGATTGTACGATAAAACAACGTTCATACACTACTGACATTCAGTTTGTGATGATTAACGTCGAGGGAGTTAGATACATTAACATTGCTTTCTACGCTAAATGTTTTTTTTATACTCTTCATTTAAGTGAAAAGACACGGCATAAATATAACGCTGTGAGTGAAGTTGTAATCTGTGGAATAAATGCAAAATAGCTAATAATTGTTTTAATGTATACAGGTAATGCAATAAGTGACTATCAGTAGTGCTAGAGAGATATGTTAGTAAGTGACCGGTTGGTGCTATTGTAAATGTAGTAGAATATTGTTCTAGGAAAGATCTTTGGAAAAGCTGGATTTATCAAGTAAAATCAACTAAGGTTTGATAGATGAAGTGCCCGTATAGAAATTTAGTGTATTGGTGAATCAAGAGGTTGAAGAAATATAGAATTAATAGTAAGTGTTGGTTTCGGTATAGCTACTCGAGAGTAGGGGTGGGAAGTTCCCGTTACCGTTTCCGGGTAACGGGAACGGGACCGTTCACGTTACCTAGGTAACTGGTAACGGGACGGTCACCAGTTACTTTTTCCTGGTAACTTCTCCAAAAAGACGAATTATTCCTTCCCGTCGAGAGAATTTCGTCATTGCATTATTTTTTAAGTTGACCTGTTCCCAGGTAACTGGTAACGGGAAACAGTTACCAGGGTAACTGGTAACTCCAAATTTTTTTATTGATGAGTTGTCAATATTCGGTCGAATAGCAGTGATATTTTGTGTTTCTGAGAAGTTACCAGGAAAAAGTAACTGGTAACGGTCCCGTTACTAGTTACCCGGGTAACTGGTAACTCCTCCCATAGAAACCGTTACCATTCCCGGGTAACGGTCTGGGAACGGTAACTTTCCACCCCTACTCGAGAGTGATCATGTTATATATTTAACACTTTTTTCAAGGAACAATGATTTAGTCTTGGATAAGGTTGAAGTGAAATGAGTTTTTCTCAGCGTAGATTAGGATGACAGATGATAGCTTCCAGCCGTGAGTGGCGCCCCTGAGGGCGCCGATGAGCGACTAGCTGCTAAGCAGAAAACTTACTTTATGAACGATGCATAATTATAATGATTTAACAGGAAAATGTGAACGAGGTTAGATTTTATGTGTTCTGATTGTGAATTAAAGAATGAGAGAGGAAAAATATGTTCCAACACATTATATAACCGACTTTTCTGTATGGATAGAATGTTGGGAGATTTGATAGATGGAGAACATAGTTGAAATAAGTCTATTCCTTTTATCAAAAAACGAACTTGAATGAAAATGAATGAGCTTTAATGTTGGTATGCTTTTCTTTTTTGGATTTAGGAAATGTACTTCATTGAGAATATGATCGATTGAAACAGTGTATGTCGATACCAATTTTGAGTATATGTGTGAAAAAGATGACAATAATCGGAAATCATGTCACTTTTTGGTCTCAGGAAGATATTAAATTCACAGTAATTACCTCGACACCTACAATCATATTGTTTAGTCAAGTAGCGTCTGCTGTTGATGTTCATATTAACAAGGTCAATATATATACAGTGGCATCCAAAAAAATGTGTTCACAGTCAGAATTGCGGAGTGTTCATTTGGAAGAGGTTGAAAACCAGCTAAATTCGCTTGGCAAGACGAGAGAGTGTTCGATATAACAGGATGATCATAAAGAAGAAGTAGAGAAACATAGAGGCTTGACTATATATTGCAGACGAACAGCTGCCATCTACTGTCAGAAAGAAGGCAGACTGTGCACATTTACACGAATCAAAAATATTTTCAACCTGCAAATTTTATGAAGAAAGTAAGTTGTAGATTTAATAAAAACACTTGAAAATAATCGAAAATTATTGAATCAATGGACACTTTGTTATTTTAAAAGAAAATTTTTCGATGTACCGAAATTTAACAAGGGCTTCAAAGGAAACAATACATTATTACTATAAAAATTAAAGTTTTCTTTTTCGAATAGTATTTGAAGTCGGAACTATTTGCAGCACTAAGTAAAATTTCGTTTATTGTCAATCTGTTCACCGTAGTTTGTATAATTCAGCACTGTTTGTGTAGCCACTACCACTCCAGCCACCAGTAACTAACACTTTTCCATCGGTTAATAAGGATATTTCGTGCGTATCTCGCGGATAATTCATGTTACTAGTAGTTGTCCAAGCTCCTGTTAATGGATCATATAACTCAGCACTAATAGGAGAACCACCATTCCCCCATCCACCCGTAACTAAAACTTTTCCATCGATTAATACTGATGCTTTGTGCCTGTATCGTGCATAACTCATGCTACCAGTAGTTGTCCAAGTTTCTGTCAATGGATTATACAACTCAGCACTATTTAAAGAACCATCACTATAAGTTCCACCAGTAACTAACACTTGTCCATTTTGTAATACGGATGCTGTATGAGAAAATCTTGCACTATTCATGCTAGCAGTAGTTGTCCAAGTTCCTGTTAGTGGATCATACAACTCAGCACTATTTAAATAGCCACCGCCACTAACATCATATCCACCAGTAACTAACACTTTTCTATTTCTTAAGATAGATGCTGTATGTGCAGTTCGTACATGATTCATAATACCAGTAGTTGTCCAAGTTTCCGTTAATGGATCATACAACTCAGCAGTATTCAGAGGATTCCCACTGTCTCCACCAGCAACTAACACATTCCCATTTGCTAAGATTGATGCTGTGTGAAGCTGTCGTGCATTATTCAAACCACCAGTAGTTGTCCAAGTCTTTATGGATGGATCATACAATTCAGCACTACTTAGAGCATCACCATTGAATCCACCAGTAACTAAGACTTTTCCATCAGTTAATACGGATGCTGTGTGGCTGTGTCGTGCAGTATTCATACTTCCAACTGTGGTCCAATTTCCTGTTAACGGATTGTAACATTCAGCACTATTCAAACGACCACTAATACCAAATCCACCAGTAACTAATACTTTTCCATCGATTAATACGGATGCTGTATGCTTATTTCGTGCATCATTCATACTGCCAGTTTTAAACCATCCTACAACATCCTTTGCATATATTCATGCAGGCAAGTCGTACAGTATAAAACACGCAAGATTGCTTGTTCACGAGGGGAAGGTTTTTAGATATTATAAAATGAAAACCATTTTTGTATTTTTAGTAAAAACCTGTATGATGTGACAGGGACATGTTAGATTTACTTTCGGGTCTATTAGATATCGTGTGTGATTGATAGATAAAAAGGGTCTGTATTTTGAATCTAGCATGGTGTTAGTCACATTAGTTAGTGCATTTTTTAGATTATCTCCAAACCCTATGAGCCATAATCGACGATGTCCAGTGTATAGAGTAGTAGGGAGTTCTCCTGAATTTCTCCACAATTCTTAAAATCACTTATGGGAAATCGAAAACGCACTTTTTCATAGCTCTGTGAAACTTTGAAAAATTACTACCATGATTTGCGTAATACTGAAGGACTTCTGAGTTTCTTTTTGACCCACTATGTGTTTCAAAGTATTCTCTATGTAAGTAAGCACTACGAAAGTTAGAAAGGTAAGATTCGTGGTGTTACCGATGAGCTTTACCTAAATATGTAGGATCAAAGTCCAAATTCAAACTCCGCTCGAATTTCGATTTACTACGAACTTATATGACACAATATGTCACGAAGACACTCAAACATAGAGCTTACCTCCGGTCATAGATATGGACGATGTTGTCGTTGATCTAATTGTAGATATGGTACTACTACTCCGTCCGCTAGCTAAAGATATATAAACAAAAGAACAATAAAAATAGTAACGCTTACGATGACGGCTTGACTCACTTGTTCTGCTAGTTGTCATTGTAGTATTTGTGGATCGAGCTCAAAAAAAGAAGCACAGTTTTAGAACACTTTTTCGAAACATTACATACTGGTCGTAATTGGTGTTGTTACTCTTGTTGAAAACATTGAATTTGTAGCTGAAATGAATGAAATAGAAGTCTTCTAGATCTTTTCTTCAGAGAATCGCACTATAGACCTCTTATTGCCGATGTAGTTGTTGCGTCTAGAAAAGTAACAGTAAAAAAAAAGACATCACTTTACAATGACACCAAGCAAAGATTCTTACTTCGAGCGACTGTTGTGTTTGCAGCTCTTGTTGATGACGCTAAAAGAATTATAAATTGATGATAGATAAACATAAGATCTTTGTTTAGAAAAGTGCATATAATGTCGAATTGTAAGCGTTTCTTGTCAAAGATTGTGAATAATGTCCAACTTTTTCCCTACACTGATCGAGTCTACTGTTGTATATTTTTTAATGCATAACTTACAAAAAAAACATTTTCAAATGTCAGATTGCTTTTTTGGTAAAACCTAACGGATAATAGATAATCGAGTGTACTGATTCTGAAAATCACAATTGTTTTTGCTGCTAGGCCTCAACAAGTCCAGTTCTCTGAAAAATCGGTTTTTCAACTGGAAAAACTTCTTGCAGAAAATAATTATTTTGATCGGGCAATGATGTAGAACATGTTAAATAATGTATAAACCTATATTTTTTCTTCTTCTTTGAAATCTCTCCAACGTGAGAAAAACTGAAAAACGATAAAGACTAATAAGCGAAGCGCTTTCCGAAGATACGATTTTTTTCATTAAATCATATAATCTTGTGAGTTCCTCGTCGGCTAGGATAGAAATAGCATTTTTTGACTAAAAAAACTGTTTTGATAACAGGGTAATCTTATACAAGGACAAAACTTTGAAGAACAATCAAAAACACTCCATTTGTCTGGTTTTACTATTTTTGAATATTTCAGACTTTGCGGAGTTTTCAAAGCAGAAATGACTATGGAAAAAAAGACGCATTAACATGAGAAAAGCGTCGACAGAACAAAGACAGAGAAATGCATATTAATACAAAATACTAAAAAATTCTTACTTGTAGTCAACACTGATAAGTTTGAACTAGAGCACTGCGGGACAGTCCCGAATCTCGAAAAATCCCGTTTGTCCTGTCCCGCGGGACAATCGGGACTGTCCCGAAAAATTTTCGGGACGGGACAAACGGGATCGGGACAATTCAAAATTTTTCGGGACGGGACAAGCGGGATTCGGGACATGAGAAAGTTTGTCCCGCAGACCTCTAGTTTGAACTCGTTGTTGTGTCTGAACAGGTAAAAAAATACATTTGCTCCTGATTTTTCGTTGTAAAAGGGCAAATTGAGCCTTACTCGTAACTGTTGGAGTCATAGTTGTTATTCGATCTAAGACAAAAAAGTTATTTTTTTTTAATAAAAATTCGTCTTATTGTGTAATCATTGCATTCTTACGCACTTGGAGGGCATATTTGAATATAAGCCAATGCCATAGGATAACAAACAGGTTTTTGACATCGTGTACTGTTAACACAAATTGTTTGTGCAATTGAACATGTAATATTGTCTGAATTACATCGAATCATTGAACTGCAGGGAAGAGCGGCAATAGCACAAATGCCCGAGATACTTCCATTAACAGTATTAGTCAATGAAAAACATTCACAATCAAGATTCGAAGAACAGAAGGTAGCTGATGTTTTACAAAGAGATGAATTGCATGTCGCCAAGGCTAGACCGGGGGATGGTGTCGTTGATTGAACTATGACACGGCACGGATTAGAAAATAGGAGCATTTTTCAAAAGGCAATGTAACACTTTACCTATAGTTTGAGGTTGACCATGGCATAGGCTTTGAAAGAAAATTAAAGAAATTTTCCAGTTGAATTCTATTGAAACACACTAATTACTCACCTTGTCATCAACAAAACATATATCGAAAACATTCGAAGTAATTGAATTTCTTTCATTTTCTTTGTGTATATCAATTTTTATTTACTTTATTATTTGTTTCGTTCAATATTCTGTTATATAGAATGAAGTCTCATTCACAATTTGTCTGTAAACAAATTGTTTTCAAATCTTATTTTCAAGTACTAATCAAAAAAACACAAAACGCTGAAGTTATTTTTCTTTTGTGACTAACAACATAAAAATCAACGACAAAAAAAAAGAGTTTCAATTTAATATGGATATGTTACTCATGGAAAAGAGTCACTAAATTATTTCAGCTTTCCTTGAAAGTCTTTCTGAAAACCTTGAACAAATGTTTCAACATGAAACAACCTTATTTAGATTCATGTAGAGCAGCACTTAGAATCAGAATCTTATAATTAATAGCTGCTGGTAGATGGATTTGTCCTCGAAATTTCTTCTTAATTTTATAACTGAAAAAAGTCAATAACATATCTCATCAGAGGCTAGATACAAAGGAGAGAAACATCGTACATTTTGTGAAACTTCTCTTATGTCTATTTTGCTAATGTTTTGCAATTTTCATAAGACTTCAAAATTTTTCGCCTTTGAAAACATGACAATCTATTTCACAGCTCGTCCAGGTAGAAGTAACCGATTTGCATTATACCATATATGGCTAAAGAGTACGACCTCGCTACTGTTGTATTCCGCAAAGAAAAATGGCTATAAGTTGATCGCTACTTAACCGATTTTGAAATTTTTGTTTTACTGGTTTAGATATGGCCATTCACTTCTGAAAAAATTGAGTTTTCATCTGTTTTATTGTGCGAGAAATCATAGCTATATTGAAGGTACTTCTAATTTTTGTGTTGAGCGATACTGAAACCATTGACATTTCGTCGAAAGTAATTTCTTTTGAACAAACTTGATCGAGTATCAAATAGGAATAGGAGACAAGTATTTTAATAAGTCAAAGAAGTTTGTTTCATAACCTTAGTTAACACAAAAATTTTGTACAAAGTTAAAAAAATATGTTCAGAATGTATTTAGAGTTACTTTTCAAATTTGATGATTGTCATAACTTAATAACAACTAAACCCCTTGCAAAAAAAACTTGACCTTTTGTTTTCACCTCATATAGCAAAGCAATATCCAAAAAAAAAGTTAAACGAAGATCTTTCTCGATGCAAGAGAAAACTCAGTTTTATTAATAAAACGTAGAACAACATTAGAAATTTATTAAAATCATGGGTACTTCGTTTGAACACATTTTATTTGAACAAATTTAATCAAATATCAAAGAGAAAAAGGCAGAAAGTAATTTGAGAAGTGAAAGAGATTTATTTCATAAAATTGTGAAGTGCAGTTTTCAATTTATTCCTACAAAATACGAACCCTGTTAAATGTTATTATGGACATAATGGACAATTGCTATCATCAACGAACTATTCAATGTTTCTGACTGGAGGAGGTAAGGAAAAGCATTCAGTTCTCAATATTATAGAGTTGCCATGTTTAGCAGGTCGAATTGTACTCAGATCTGTGGAACTGTATACGAATAATGAATATTATCTTTAAAATTACTATTTTAAATCAAAACTATTTTTGTTGTGTTGCCTTAGCTTGTCGGGGATCTCAATCAAATCATAGGGAACTATCGGGAGAATATTACTTTCGTACGCATTCGATATGGCTCTATCGAATACAAAACTTGGTTGTTTTTACCATCAAATTTATTTCTTTTTTGATTTTTTTTCTCGAACGGTCCAATGGCGGTGACCTTCACTCATATCTTGGGATGGAGGTCATCGTAAGTAAATAGTCCAGCTAGTCTATGGAATGATGAGTTATGCTAGGACGCAGCCTTTTAAGACCACGTAGATTTGGATGTATTGTTAGTTGGATATCTGAAGACTACTCCTGCAATCACTGACTGTTTACATGAATTAATTTTTATATCTAAGATAGCACTCACTTATATCAGGTGTATCAAAAGCGATTGTACGGTACGGATCGCCAATCCTCCACAATCAATATCACAGATTTCCATGAAACTCTGCTAGTATGTAGCATCAAGTGAGATGTGAAAATGCCTAGCATCTCAACTTATAAAAACCGTTCCTCTTGTTGATATATTCAAACTACAACAGAGGTTCTATTTAGCATTATGATTCAGATGCTTGTTGTCAATGAATTTTGAACCAGTTCTTAGTCCAAAGTCACGAGCTCACGTCTGAAAGTTACGAGCTTTACCAGAATGGAAAACCACAAGAATTAAATATCCGTATCCAGAGACCGATTATGTCCAATCCTGGCAGAAAATGAAACAAATGAGCCATCGAATCTCAATATTGTATCTTTGTTTCTATGATTTGACATTTTTCACAAATTTTTTCGGCTAAAATCAGCCGTACATCATCTGTCTGTGTCATAAGTCGAAAACGAACAGAACCAAACCAGAAGTAATTTCGAAACAAAATAGTTGAACACAGTTTAATATCAGATAGCAAATAAGTGATTGAACTATCACGATTTAGAAAATTACAGGGTGCCCCAAAAGTCTCTTGGAGATAAGTTTTTCCTTTATCTTTACTATTTCATTTGACATTGTCAACTACTTTTTTTTGTAAATGAGAAGTGGATACACCGAGTTTCTACTCATATGAACAAGCTTCAAAAGTACTGCTCAGCATTATCACTTTTCATCGAAATACAAAAATTTAACATTTTTTCCTCTTTCCAAAAAACTTCATGCAATATATATATTTTTTATTTACTTTGGGTTATTGAGTAATGTGGATCTTTAAATTTTTCAATACCTGAATAGTGTTTTCCTAGAATTTTATTTCGATATGACTTCGCAAAAACCGATTGGATGGTGTCAAGTCAAAACTCACAATGGAACCTTCTGTATTGTTAATCGAATTGATCGATTAACAATACAGCAGGTTCTATTGTCAGACAATTAAAATAGACATCGTCTATGAGTTTTTCTGGAAATAGAAAACAGGCTAAATTTTTGTCTTTCAGTTAAAGGTGGTACGATTGAAAAATACTTTTGAAGTTTGTTAATATAAATAAAAAATCGCTGTATCCACCTATCATTTACAAACTAAATAGTTGATAATGTCAAATGAAATAGTAAAGATAAACTAAAAACTTATTCCCAATGAACTTTTGGGACATCCTGTATAATGCTGTCAACGAAACCAAAAGCGAATATTTATCAATTGTTTCACGTGCTTAATCAGAATACTGCAGTCTCATCTTTCTGTTAGTTTTAATTACACAAATTGTGTCTGTGATGAGGATCCCCCAATAGTAGGACTTGAGGACCCAAAGGTACTCCATGATAAGAAGGGCCATTGCCCCGTTCCTGGGTAACGGTCTGGGAATGGTAATTTCTCACTCCTAGTTTGGCTCTTAAAATTTTTTATACATTTCTAATCAGTCTTGAATATTTCTCTTTGAACGGTGGTTATCTCATATATGTTCCACTAAAGCCTTCGTTATAATGGGACTTTCTATGTAACTCTAAACACTATACGCTTTACCTGTACGTTTGTTTATGTCCTGTGGGTAACTAACTAGCGTATATATGTATATGACAAGTTAATATTACAAGTGAATACATGGAGCTTCCACACAATTTACTCTCGAACTTCAGAAGTATTTTGTTTGGTTTTCTATCACAATGATCATTCATTTTTTCGTACCAATAGTTTTTAAAGCCTATTCTAAAGCAGCTTGTAACTAACAAATTATATAAAAAAAAATACAAAACGATGTATAAATAAACGAACGCAATATGCATCATATAATTGCATTCATGTCTTATTTTGTTGAAGAGAGAAAGAAAGTAAAAGAAAAATACCTCTGAATATTCAGCTATTGGCTCATACAATCAAAAACAACAACGCGCAAATTCACTATAAGTATATAAGTTGTATTAAGCAAAATACTGAATAGAAAAAATGAATTGATTATTTCTTTCGTGCTAGTTCCTCAAAAGAGCGGAATAATCCTTCAAATGAACAAACAGACAATAAAATATGTAAGCTCGATCATTTTGAGAAGTATTCAAGCAGAAAAAGAAATCGATGAAGTCGAATCGACAATAAATTACAGTCTTTACTTTACATGCTGGGCATAAGAAAATAAGAAAACAAAAACAAGAGAAAATAGTCTTTAAAATAAATAATACATTTGATTTTTAATTATTTGCTTCGAATAAATTATTCATAGCTATTTTCTTTGTAATATATAATATTATTTGGTGTTCTTCAAAGTTTATGAATATAAAAACTAATATTAAAGCACAATCATGTGATCGATTTCGACCTGAATGATTGATCAAGTCAATTAAATGAACATGTCAAACGAAAATGAAAGTTCAAAATTAAGCCTAGTTTACAAGACGATCCGTTGATTTTTTAGTTGGACTGTTAAACAATAAATCTTAAATAGAATTTATGGCTCATACTGTGTATTAATCAAAACAAAGATATCATTTTTTTTCTTCTCATTGCACTAAATACGGATTACAGACCACAACAAATAGGTATTCAGATATGTTTTCATTATTGATATAGAAATATCGAATGATAAATAGGTCAATGTGTATTTTCACATACATGTCACATCAAACGGGCAATATTACTGATAACTATCAAGTTGAAAATATGTTCCATGAGAAAAATATTTACAAATGAAAACGGAACATATATACAATATAGTATGCTCTATATTTTACTTAGTAAATTATAGTTAATATCCCTTATTATTCTTTTTTTTTTAATAACTTTTATAATCAGAAAACAATTGCATGCTGCCTGCGCAATTCAAATGTAACTTCGAAATTAAAATACGTGAATTCCTT